TTTTGTGTGTGTGTGTGTGTGTAGCCATAACAGGAAATATCACTTTCAATAACCACATAAATCGTTATAGAGTATACATTTTTTGTTGATCACATTCAACTATCGAAATTAGTTAGTTGTTTCTTGGATGGTGAAGACGTGTTGGCTAATATATTCAATGACTAAAATACATTTGGTTGTTAAATATATTATTTCAATAACTAAATAATTGGTCATAAAATGTTTTTATTGATTTTTTTTTTAAATAACCACTGTTTGGTTGTTGTATCAATTATTTTTGTCATCATAATACAATGAAGGAAACCAAATTTTAATTGTCAATATCTCAATAACGAAAGAAATGGTCGTTAAAAATTAATATTGACAATCAATTAATTTTATTTCAATAATTGCTTGATTTGTCTTTTTATTAATGACTTTTGATGATAAAATATCACTGAAGCAACTAAAATTTAGTTACTTTTCTTTTCAACAATGAAAGAAGTGGTTGTAAAATCAAATGTGAATGAGTGTATGGATGTCCGACTCAACTGATCAATTTCTAATTCTAATTCTTGAATTGTGTTAATTAATATCATTCATGAATTTTTGTAAAAATCGGCAATCCAATTTTATTCATTATTCTTTTTCAAGATATAATAACCTATGTTTAGCATGACTCGATTCTATTCCTAATTCTAATTCATATGAAAAACATGTATTTGCATCGAGGATTACCTCACGCAGTCACACGCACCATAAATATGAATCCTAGTATTTAATGCTCGTATGTTCTATAAACAGCATTGTTTTTATTGTGAATTTTCCAACACTTAGAATAAGCAACATATTGTCCTAATGGTGCGCAAACATTAAAACAATATAAAGACTAATATGTGGAATCACAATACAAGAATTTAAATAAAAAAACACGAAGTCTCAAATTAAAATTAAAAATAAAAAAGTCTTGTCATCCATCCAATACAATAACTCTCTAGAACACAACTTTTTATTAACTTTCAGCCCTCTCTACCCGTTCAACAATGGGATTTCAAAAGACGATTCTTTCTAGCATATTTTTATGAAAACTACAAGAAACAAAGAAGAACGTCACCTGAGTCAAGAGATAATAACGGAATCTTGAAATCTTTAATAATCGAATGCAATTCCGTCCCCAAGCAATGAATTTCTTGCTCAATGATGTGAACTCTCTAGAATATCTCACTTCTCCATTCTGGGTGGCTCTAGATCTTTTTAAACACCCCCAAAGTTGTTTGAGTAGAAAAAGGAAAATTGGGATTTCCTTTAGGAGACCTTCTATGTCGCCGCATAGAAGGATTAGGTGCGACCACATCGAACAAATAGTTTCTTTGAAGTTAGTCCCAGGAATAGTAGATGTAGCCATATCTAATGAATGCCTATACTATCGCAAGTCTTAAGTAAAGTTTACAATTTACAATTTTTGTCCCTATATATTTCCGTTGTGCTCTTTGTCCCCTTTTATCACTTCTTCTTGTTCCAATGCCTTCATTTCTTTTTCGATTGGCTCCGAATATATCCGCATCTTGATTTCGAAGTTCATCTCATATATTGATAATTTGCATGTTGACATCCGAATATTCGATTTCCTCCAATTTGGTCCTTTTTCACTCCTTTTCTCCAAATCCACCAGATTCATCGATGTATTCCAAAAACACACAATAAACAATGAAATAAGCCAAATTTTCATATAATTCATCAACAAATGCACGCGTTTATTAGCCTAACTAATGTGATGAGAAAAGTATGATCCCACACGAAATAACTGTTCACTCTAGTATATTCGATAGTATTAAATTCCATCATTTAATAAAAGCAATTGATTTCGTTTTCTAATTATGCTATTTTTATCCTACAAAAGTGACTAGATTTTATTTTTAAAACAAATGTGAGTGAGTGTATTGGATATCTGACTCAACTAATCAATTTTTTATTCTAATTCTTGACTTATGTTAATTAATATAATGCATGTATTTGTATTCAACCTTCTTTTAAAAGATATAATAAATCTATGTTTAACATGACTCAGCCCTATTCAGTCCAAATTGATATGAAAAACATGCATGTAAATTTAGGATTGTCTCATGCTATCACAAGTGACATAAATATTATTCCTAATATTATTTGGCCGTATGTTCAATAAATAGCCTTCTACTTGTTGTGAGTTTTCCAACAACACCAATATCCAACTTAATGTCCTAACAATGCACAAGCAGTAAAACAATGTAAAGATTAATATGATGAGAAAAGTATTGTCCCACAAGGAATAATGGTTAATTCTAGTGTATTCGATATTATTAAATTCGATCGTTTTAACAAATGAGATTGATTTTGTTTTCTAATTATGGTATTTTTATCCTACGATAGAGACTAGATGTGATTATTATATCAGCTAATCAATTTTTAATTCTAATTCTCGGCTTGTGTTAATTAATATAATTCATTGATTTGTAACAATCACACTTCTTTTTCAAGATAGAATAAACCTATGGTAAACATAATCCATCTCTATTCCTAGTCTGAATTCATATAAAAACAAGAATTTGCATTCAAGATTATCTCACGCAATCACACACGTCATAAATATTATGAATAATATTTGTTGCCCACATATTCCATAAACACCGTTCTACCTATTATGAGTTTTCCAACACTACGAAAAAGCAACTTATTGTCTTAAGTTGCACAAGAATTACAACAATGTAAAGATTAATATGATGAGAAAAGCATCGTCCCATATGGAATAATGCTTAATTATACTATAAATGATATTATTAAAGTCGACCATTTTAATAAAAGAGACTAATTTGTTTTTCCAATTATGCTATTTTATCCTACAAGAGTGACTAGATTTGATTTTTAAATAAAATGCGAGTGTGTATTGGATATCTAACTCTAGTAATCAATTTTATCCCTGAGATGTTCTCTAACTTAAAAGTTGATTATAATCTATACAAAATGAACATGTTTCTGACAAAATTAATGAAAGAGCTCTAAAGTGCAAAAACTATTCTGAAGGCCAAAAATGAATATGCTTTTATAGTGGTAGTCGGACCCTCATATCCTAATCCCTCTGGTGGTAAAGGAGGAAATAAGAGGA